TTTGAAGAAAAAATAAAGTGTTACTGTTTCTTATCTGTAGAAGGTTTAAGAGGAAAGACCACAACATAATGAACTACATTCAACAATCAAATATCTTTTCTTGAATAAACCTTCATTTCGGTGCAATATTGAAATTAGCTTGAATTCTTCATAACCTCTGAATAATGGGTGACCCAACGGGTCATGGGTGGTCTAGTAGCAAATAAAAAAAAGCTGGCTTAAAAACTAATTAGTTTTTACTTCAAAACACTTCTGATCATATGATATTAATCAAATTTTATAATATCTTACTTGTATTTAACACAAGACTATCAACTCTGATCTAAACATCTTAGCAACTAAAAAAAGAGCTGGCTTCAAAATTAATTAATTTTAACTTCAAAACACTTCTGATCATATGAAATTAAAAATCATGCTGAATCAGAGTTCATGGCTTAAACTTTGTGCATGGCTATCTATTAATTATCAGTTACAAGTTGGTCAATTCAACGAACTTCGTAACAATGAAACTATCATTCTGAAAGCAGTGAGCTGTCTACAAGGAGTTTAGCAGGCTTTTCTAAACATTACAAGTCTGTTGTAAACAAAAAATTAGCTTTTTCAATACAGTATTTGTATGTAAATTTATGAAGCCTTTACCAAGTCATTCTGTGTGAAACATGTATTTTCATTCTAAGAATAAATATATTTCTTTTCACCTTAAAGTATTTATATTTCATTTCTATAACTTCTAGAGCCTCCTAATTAAATATCAAAAGTTTTTTTGGTGAAATTAAATTCTATCTCTAATTTTCAGTCCTTAACACTAACTGTAGTTAAATAAAAAGTTGATAAATATTAAATAACATAAATAGAACCTCTTCTTCTTCTTTAAATGTATAATTGTCTTGAAATTTTCAAATAACTTACATTCACCTTTTTAACTGTTAACTTCTTCACATCTGTTTTCTTTTTATAGTTTTATTATCTGTACTTTGTCCTCTGTCAAAAGGAATAAACACACAAATCACAGTGATAGCCCATTAGCTGTTTCTTGTAGACCTTATGTAAACACCATGTGTTCTCTACACTTGCTAGTGTAACTGTAGTAAGCCTCAGTAGATCTCCAAAAAATAATTAATGTAGCTTTTAATTAAGCATTTTAGAACACAAAACACATATCAATCACTAGAATAGTGTGTCCCAAAAGTTAACATTTTTTTACACTAAAAATGTATTTCTGACAGGTACTTACCATTACTCACACAAAGCTATCTCAATCTTTTTTCTGCCCTCTAAGCATTGCTGAAAAGGTTTTCACACTAAGTGCACCATTTTATGTACCCCACTGATTTTGCACCACAACTGAACATGTAAATAGCATGTGACTACTCTCCACCAATAGTACTGCCCCACCTATATTGGTGCAGCTAGCACCATCTGCTATTTCCATTCAATCCTCACTTTCAAGAATTGGCAGGCTCTAAAAGAAGAACACTAGCAGTGGGGAGGAAGGGTGGGAAGTGTGTGAGAGTAAGTAAGTACCTATTGGAAACACATTTTCAGTATAAGAAAATGTAAATATGGTCTTACCATTTCTCATGCAAAGCTAGAATCCCACATTGCAAAGGTGGAGGGGCCAGTGGAGGTGCTCAACATTGAAACCAAGCAGAAAGTGACCATCCAAAGTGAACGGGTGTGCTCTGATATGAAACTGAAGCACACATGGAGGGTACTGCACTACATCTGGAACAGGTGCTGTAATTTGTTCGTAGAGGTGCAATCGATAGTAAAATATAAACTGAATGAACTATGTAGATACCCAACCTCAAATGAACAGACGAGGTTCCATAACTCGCTCTTGGCATTAGGTGGTTGAGGATCAAAACAGATAAAAACAAATATATTGTAACATAAACATGGTGGTTAGGTCATGCAGACCATGTTACATATACTCATCTAACCCAACCATAAGTAAACAGAGGGTCATACATCATGCAACTGGAATTACAAAGAGGAAGTTACCAGTTGGCAGAAACCAGACATAGGAACAGCATACGTACATCTTATTGTTGGTAATACAATGCAGACGAAGTCCTCGAAACTCAACCGTAGGAACAGGGAAAGAACTTCCTGCAGCCAGAATTAATGAAAAGAGAGGCCTCTACTGCACACAACCATAGGAACAGGGTGATGTCATCCCAAACCCACTTTTAGGAGGAGGATCCCATGTTGGCTGGTCCTGCTCCAACCAACAGTGGTCCACCTTAGAAAAAACATCAAGAGGAAATTGAAGGAGGGAAACCAGCTTTGCCCTTTACCCACTGAGTGGAAAATCATGAGTATGTATGATAAGTTAAAATTCAACAATGCACTCAGGAGGAAGCCTCCATGGTCCACCACCCCAGCGACTAGGAAATGGGAAGTGGTAAGGACTCCCATGCTCC